GTTTTTGGATCCCATTTCTGTGAAATCCAAAGAGAAGAACACTATTTCTGATGTGGCGTCGTTTTTTCCAAATTTAATTCATCCTGATGAAATTCAGGAACCGGATAATGAATGGAGATTGTTAAAAGATTACCCACTGGATGACACTTAGAATGATATTTTAAAATTTTGGAGCGAAATTGCCCAAGTAAAGATAGGAGATTCTCTAAAATTTCCTATTTTAATTAAGTTTGTTTTTCAAATTATGTGTTTGCCTCATTCGAGTGCGGCTGTAGAGAGAATATTTTCCCAAATTAATCGGATTAAAACACAGTTTCGCAATAAGTTAAAAACAAAAAAATAGAAGGTCTTTTGCATACAAAAAGTTTTATGGAAAATAAAACATCTTACGATTTTACTTTAAACAAAAATATTAGCAGAAAACTCGGCAATAGCAGCCTATTATATTTGGCAGCGATCTATATATCATCGGTGATTTCAAAATTCCAGAGTTTCCCCAGGATGACAATAGTCAAACTTCTCGAAGGAGTGCAGCGGTTGTATCGTTTATGACATTACTTGATCTTAAGCAATATAACTCTGTATTGAATATTAATGGAAGAGCGCTGGATCTAGTGTTTTCTAAGAGATGCTGTACGGTTGAAAAGGCATACGAAGATTTACTTCCAGAGGATTTTTATCACCCTCGTTTATGTACCACCCTAGAAAACAGTATTCGGAATCTCAAACAGAACACAGTAAAACCGATAGAACATTTTAATTTCCGAAAAGCTAATTTTCTTCTGCTGTATGAGCATATTGGTGTGGTGTAAATTGGTATTTCCTGGATGATATACAACACTCTGATATTGCGTGTAGTTTATTTGACAATACACTAAATTGCATATTCGAAACGTGTGTCCCAAAAACTAAATTAAGCCGCAGGAAACCCAACTTGGTTTAATGGTGAGATAATTAGGAACATAAAAAACAAGTATAAGCTGCACAAACGGTACAAATGATATGAACAAGCTGAAACATCTGAGGAGTTTAAAAATCTGAGAGCAAAAATCAAAAGAGATACAGGTTCTGCATATAAAAAATAGTTAAAAGGCATTCAAAACGATATCGCCAATTCTCCTAATAGTTTCTGGTCACATATACGCAGCAAAAAAGGTCACAACCATCCAGTTAATGAAACTACAACTACAATGGCACTATCTACAGCACACCTGATGAGATAGCAAATGCGTTCGCCAACTTTGTTCAATCAGTATTTTCAAAGAATCCTCATTTGCCTCCGTCAAGTAATTTACCTTCATCCTGTACTAATTTTTCCCTAATTAATTTTAACGAAACTGAAGTATATAAGGCGTTGAAAAGAATGAAAAATAAATTGATCAGTGGTCCAGATTATATTCCATCTTTTTTGCTGAGGGACTGTGCGTCTGTCCTTGCATGCCCATTAACAAAAATATACAATATTATTCTGAAAACTAAAATATATCCCGACGTTTGGCGACAAGCAAGAATATGTCCAATTTTTAAAAAAGATGACAGAACTGCTATAGAAAACCATAGACCAATTACTTTGGTATGTAAGTTCTCCAAAGCTTTGGAGTACTTATTGTAGAATTTTATATATGTTATTGTCAGTAAGAGTATATCTCCTTGTCAGCACGGTTTTATGGAACTCCCTTCCATGACGACTAACCTAATTTATTTTTCACAATTCATTTTTGAATCCCTGGACGCTGGATGCAAACCGATGTCATTTATACAGATATTAGTAAAGCATTTGATAGGTTGGACCTTCATCTGCTACTAGCAAAACTTGATAGAATGGGCTTTTCAGATAATTTAGTATGTTTTTTGAAATCCTATCTGTCCAACCCGAAGCTGTTTGTGGAATTCAAGGGATCCAAATCTCAAAAGTTTACTCCAGCATCAGGTGTTCCACAGGGATCATCGCTAGGACCACTTCTTTTTATTATATTTATCAATGACATTTGTGTCGTTATTGATTGCAAATACCTCTTATATACCGATGATCTTAAAATTTATACTCAGGTTAGCAGCAGCACCGATTGCGAACGTCTCCAAGATAATCTCAACAGAATAATAATTTGATGCGATAGTAATAACCTATCCATGAATGCATCCAAGTGTACCAGCATGACGTATTCCAGAAAACAACGCCCCATAGAATATCATTATAAGGTTAATCAAACAACGCTGCCAAATCTAAGAGAATTCAAAAATATTGGAGTCACCTTTGACACAACCCTCAGATTCAATCCGCATATAAATTACCTTCTAAATTCTGTAAATAAGAGTCTGGGTTTTGTATTGCGCAACTCTCGTGATTTTGACAGCTTAAATGCTCTACTCATGCTGTATAATGCATTTGTAATGTTAAAACTTGAATACGCTAGAATTATTTGAAATCCCTGCTATGTGACGACTTGTGACTTAATAGAAAAAATACAACGCAAGTTTCTGAAATATCTGTCCTACACGATAGATGGTATCTATCCAGAAATAGGTGTTCCTCAAGATGTATTATTAAAGAGGCACGGTATGCTAAGCTTAGACGACAGAAGAATAATGCACTCAATAATATTCTTATTCAAGGTTATTCACAACCAATACGATTATCCGGATATTCTAAGTCACCTGTCGTTTAATATACCAAGATGTCTCACCAGAAACATCCTAACGTTTTATTTACCAACCCGCAGAACCAACTTACTGCTGCATTCTCCCCTATATTCCTGTTTAAATAATCTACAAAACAGAATTGATATATTTAATACAAATGTGACCTCTATTAAGATCATCTGCAAATCTGTTATATAATTGTGTAGTTTTGTGACTGTTATATTTCTTATGTATATTAATTACTTTAGGTTTGTACTATGTAAACTTCTATTCCCCCACCAATAATTGGTTTATCTGTTGGTGGTGTAAATAAATAAATAATTAAATAAATAAGAAAATATATCAACGCAACAAGCACCTTGAGAAACCCTACCTGTGATTCCCTCTTCATTACGCACAATAAACCTAAACAAAATTTTACAACAGACCGTTGTCTGAATCTAATAATTTTGCCGAAACAGTGTTATCAGGGAATAATGATTTTCTTTGAGTTTGGCATTAGTATATTGAATGCTCTTATTCTTGTACTTGTATTTCAGTTTATAATAATTATCCGTTTTGCTTTATTTTTGTTTGTTTGTTAACATAATGTCCACACCTTATTTAGGAAATGGCATTTTTTGGCAAACACTCTTTAAACATCCACACAATTATACATATACGTAGTATTGAGGACTGAACCTGAAATATAATATATCGATCAAAAGAACTTACCTGAAGTTCGATCGTTTTTATATGAAGGTCCAGTCCGAAAATATTACAATCCCGACCCACCCAAGAAAGAATCTAACCCAGAAGCTATACAGGGTGACTTTGAAGTTGAGTCATTAATTTTCAGATAATGATTGTAGAAGGAAGATAAACCAATGTGTAAAAATAACAAAAAAAAAATGTTACCTTGTTTTATAATGTATCCTCCCGACAAGTATTTCAGTGCGGACCTGTATTTGATCGTGAGGTTTTGGAGCACCGGCATGCCTTCCCGTGTGAGGTCTTAAGTCACCTGATTCACGAGCCCTTTGTACTATATTAACAAAGGCACGAGGGGTTGGTTGTACTCGATTGGGAAACCGATCCGCATAAATCCGTGATGCCGCGGCAGGATTTTGTAAAGACTCCCCCCCCGTAAATAAGAATCATGTCCACATTTTCGTAAACATGTGCCATTTTTTATTTCGTTTGAGCCACGCAACAAACACCACTATTCACTCACGCGTTACCTACTGACACATTGACTGAATACAAGTGTTGTAGTAAAAACATCGTGATAAGGCGTTTCAAATTCTTTCGCTTTTTTGTTTCCGATGCGATGAACCGATAAGGTTATATCCGTTGTTGCCAAACACGAGCACATAATATTATTATTGAGACAGGGCGGTACTCAAACTTCTAAAGGGCTATAACTTTGTTACTTTAATTTTACCACAAAAATGTTAAAGGAAAAAAAACATTTTTTTGATCAGATCTTCTCACTGTTAAAATAAATGACTCAACTTCGTATATGTGTTTTCCAAAAGATGCCGAATGAATACTTTAAAACAATGAGGTGAATACATACCGATGGGAGCGACTACAAAGGGCGGCCGACACAGGTCCGGATTCTCTAAATGTACTTTGAACCTTGTGCTAAAAGTGGAAGAGACGCATACTACACAATTATGTAATATTTTCGCACTGGACCTTCATATAATAACGATCGAACTTCAGGTAAGATCTTTTTATCGATATATTATTTGACCTTTATCCCGATTTCAAAGATACGGACAATGCTCATATTAAATAATGTCCTAGTATTAGTCCAACAAGCCGGCAGGATTATTACGTGAAAAACCTATAAAAATCCTGTTTTTATGGCAGTCAGAAATTTTATCTGGTCTGTTACACTATATATAGACGAAATTCACATGGCCTGATCCGAGAAAAAGTCACCGACAAGTCACCGACCACTGTACGGCAAAAAACCGAAAAAATATCAACTTGATGACTAAATAGACTAGTGTAGTTCATTCCGTACTTGCTTCAAGTGAGCATGAAGTGAACAACCGCTAGTTCCAAATTGACGTCATGTTGGAAAATGTACATAATGTCATAAAAAACCTATATAATGTCCAAAAAAACGACAAAGTCAAAAAAACCTAACTTTTCAAGTTACGTGGTACCCCTGCTGGACGAACTGTTTCCTGACAAGTCATCAAACTGCACCAAATTGCTACGTCTCCCACGGACAGGTTTGATCGTGTACAAGTATTCATCAGAAGACATTTTACTGACGAGCCATGACGAGATCAAACGGCACTGTTTGTGACAAACTTAGGATAAACATTGCATAAGTTAATCAAACGACACTTTGATATTTGCAGGTAGGAGCTATTGAAGGTCAAATCTTCCTGAAGAATGGCATACTAGAACCTTTGAGTGCTCAAAATCTCATAGACTGTGCTAGAGGTAAGTACCACAACGAGGGATGTTATGGAGGGTCGATGAAGTCCGCTTTCAACTACACAAGAGATCATGGAGTGCTCACAGATCAAGAGTACCCGTACGTATCCTATTCTGGCAAAGAGGGAAAATGCAAGAAGCAAGGGGGAGTCAAGATCAGCGGTTACAAGGTTACCCCAGAAGGAGATGAACAGGCTCTAGCAAAGGCTGTTGGTAGGTAAACGCTCCATAAACATATGCGGGCAATAATTCCTATAAAATTATTTTAATGGGCAAATCTGGTATTCTCAAAAACAGCGAAGTCTATCCGTATTGTTTTCAGCTAGGATCCGCTTTCCAAAAATTTCACCTTTGCGTTATTTCCACGTAGAAATACAGATATTGATTACGCAAAAGGTTGACGTATGGCACTATGGCAGTTATAAAAGGTTGGGTTTGTATGATGGGAGCAATTCGGTTAAAATATATACAAAATGGAGGCATGTTTGGTTCTACCGAAAGTAGGTACCAGCTGGCTTATTTTAAAAAGAACACCCTCTTTGTGTTCAGTTTTTGGATTCTACGCGAGATTATAAATATACTCGTATTTGATTAATATCATCCTATACCCAAGTCTAACCGTTTTTGAAATAAGTATATCAAATTTAGCGCAACAAATGACAAATGCAGGCCAATGAATTATAATTATGTTATAGTTTTTATTTTTGAGCCACCACGCAGGTCTGAGCACTAAGTACCCGCCCAAACGACCTGAGTACATATTTGTACATGAAATTAGAGGCATACCGGCCACCTTAAGGAGCCAGCGCATAGGCCTCTCAGACGGGCCCTTGTGCACCTCTACATTCCATAGACCTCAAGCCTCGCCATTCTAGCGAAGTTGAGTATGGCCTTGATTCCAAGCTCCTTAACATCCTGGGGGTCCAGAGTGATGCACCCCAGTATAGTCTGCCTGTAGTAGCCACAGCGACACGGAAAGTGCGCCGAGGACTACCCTGCAGCGCTCACACAAGGGATCCTCAGCCACCCCCATCAAGTGCAGGTGGCGCCTTATCGTGTTATGTCTATACAACAGTCCCACCAGCTACCTTAGGTTGGCTCGGGTTGTACGGATCAGGTACATACTTGGCACACAGCGTTTGTCCTATGTATGTACGTAAAAGGATGCAGTAGGTCATGGCGTGCGTAGACTTTTCGGCAAAATGTACATGTACGTACTTAATTGGACGTAGTACGTCCATGGGATGTACTCACGCTCACGTTTTCCACCAAAATGTACATTCTATGTACGTACATAAAAGAATGTCCAGAGTATGTATACAGGGTGATGCACAAGACGTGACCAAAAATGAAACATCATACACAGGACCGCATTATAAGGGAGCTCTTCTATGTAACATTTTTTTCTCGAGAGCTTCATACGGGATGTTGAAGTGTAAAAATAAAAAACAATTTCCTTTAATATCTCCAAAACCGTCAACTGAAATGAACTAAAATTTGGTATGTGGATATACCTAAGTATTGTCCACATTCACATTTGCTTAAGATTGACGTTCACCAGTCGCGGAGATACAGGCGATCAGTGGCACTATTTTCCAAATAAAAATAGTACCTCACTATTTGTTTACAAAACGCCCAATTTTTCGAATTTTACCTTCAATTTACTACAAGTGATCTGTTGTGTTTTTTTTATGAGTAAATTGTTTTCGTAAAAATAAAAAACAGATAGATAATCAGCTTTATTTCGTTAAATGTTAAAAAACACCATTCTGACGGATACCAGTGCCGCACCTTTTTAATACAGAAAAACATATTTCCGCAAAATTTGTTGTTGCCTGAATTTGATGAAACGCATTTTCTATCCTTTCTTGCAACTGATCAACAGTATTATTTGTTCAGCATACACTAGTTGTTTAAAAGCGCCCCACAAAAAGAAATCCAGTGGGTTTGAATCAAGAGACCTCGCAGGTAAATGTACGGGTCCGTTTCTGCCAATCCATCGTTTTCTAAAATGATTATTTAACCATGCGGTTATGTCACGAAGAACATGCGGTGGGGCACCGTCCGTCGCGTCGTGCTGATATCACATTCGTACTTTCGTTGCTAACGGGACATCATCTAACACATTGTCTATGTAATTATCTAGAAAAGCTAAGTATGAGTTTGCATTTAAACGTTGTGGCACTACGTGCATACACAGTTGGCCATTGATAATTCCGCACCAGACATTTCTAGAAAACATGTGTTGAAACGACTGAATTCTTACAGAACGGGGATTTTCTAACGGCCAAATTTGTTTATCATGAGAATTAATGGTTCCACTACTCGTAAAAAGCTATTCATCTGACCACAAAACCAAATCAATAGAATCTGCATTTTTATTATGCATTTGCAGTAACTACTCACAAAAATTTTGCCGATGGTATGGATGTAAAACCACCCGATTTAAAATTCTCCTCGCAATTGCATATTGCCGAAGTCTTAGAAATGAACGCGTAAAAACCTTTGGGGTAGGTTTGCGCCCTTTAGGAAATCTACGTTGACATTCCCGAGAAGCCGCTACAGAACCCGTACCCAAAAATAATATCGGCGTACTCATCATTGCTAAATTCCATTTCAAAACACTCAGAAATGAAAAAAAGTTTTTACTTGACTTTTACAAAAAAAAAAAGTAGTAACGATAACCAGCGTATAACACATAACCTTGACAAACTATCTCCCAAGAAAGGTCATGTTGGTATCAAGGCCTCCTATTTTATTTTGAAGCTAATTGTATTTTGGCTTTTCATGAATGATCTAATTTGTTTTATTTTTACGAAAACAGTACACTGTAGGGAAAAAACGCAGGAGTAATTATTTCTAGCAACTTGAAGGTCAAATTAGAAAAATTCCGCGTTTCGAAAAAAACAGTAGCGTACTACTTTTATTTGGAAAGATAATGCCACTAATCCCCTGTATCTCCGCCACTGGTGCACGTTAGTTTCGAATAAAGACTTTTGAATGTGGACAATACTTAGGTTAATTCACATACCAAATGGTCGTTCATTCCAGTTGACGGCCATTGAGGAAAAATGTTACTTAGAAGAAAGACCCCATTAAAATGCGGTCCCGTGTATGATTTTTTGGTCACGACTTGTGAATCAACCTGTATACAGTATTATCTGATGGAAAACTGGAACACATTGTGAATGTACTACTACTTTCTTGAAAAAATACATAAAAATAAGATATCTTGTCCCTAAAAAGCTAAAATTGTTCTAAAAAAAATGATCAGAGAGCAATGTGACATAAAAATGCATGACATGGTCCATAAAGTTTAGCGTTTGAAAATTTTATGGCCTGAAAACTTGCGTGAAGTTTTGTAAAACAATTCACGCATTTTTTTCGTATGTTGGGGCCCCTATAAGCAGAGGTCCCTGTAACATTGATACGGCGGTAGGTACACCTCTGTGATAGAGTAATCTTTGCCGTGTCAGGGATGCCACAGCCCGCAACTACCTATCGAACGAAGCAATATATACTAAGTGACATATAAATCCGAACACCCAGTTTAAATGGTTTTATTTTAATAAAATTTTGTATAAGTACTTAATGAAGCATAATAAGTAAATGATAAAAATTTCAAAATGATTGCACTGCTTTAAAGCCCTTTGACCTTTAATAATGTGTGGATGCACCCTGATGTGCTACGCATTCTCCAATGCGCCTAGGCATGCTTCTGATCAGGTGGTCAATGTCCTCCTGTGGTATCTCATTCCAGGCAACCACCAACTCCTCTCGAAGTCCTTCTAGAGTCTGAGGAGGACGTTGCAAATTAAGCAATCTCCTACCCATCATATCCCACACGTGCTCAATTGGGGATAAGTCGGGAGATCTTGGTGGCCATGGTAACAATGTGACATCATTATGTTGAAAGAAGTCTATTGTGACTCTTGCAACATGTGGTCGGGCATTATCTTGTTGCAAAGTTGGATCTGCCAGGGTGACAAGATAGGGTAAAAGATGGGGTTCTAGAACTTCGTGGATGTAACGCTGCACGTTCATGTTACCTCTGATGAAATTAAAGGTGACCTGGAACCATAAGCTATAGCACCCCAAACCATAACTCCAACAGTGTGATGAACATGTCTTTCAACAAAAAACTGTGGATTCCTCCTTTCACCACGTCGCCTTCTAACCCTGGCACGACCATCGTGCATGCCTAAACAAAATCGAGACGACAATACTGTTCCATTCCTGATCCCAGAGTGACCGTTGTCTGCACCACTCAAGGCGATTACGTCGGTGTAAGGGTTAGAAGGCGACGTGGGGAAAGGAGGAATCCACAGTTTTTTGTTGAAAGACATGTTCATCACACTGTTGGAGTTATGGTTTGGGGTGCTATAGCTTATGGTTCCAGGTCACCTTTAATCTTCATCAGAGGTAACATGAACGCGCAGCGTTATATCCACGAAGTTCTAGAACCCCATCTTTTACCCTATCTTGACACCCTGGCAGATCCAACTTTCCAACAAGATAATGCCCGACCACATGTTGCAAGAGTCACAATATACTTCTTTCAACATAATGATGTCACATTGTTACCATGGCCACCAAGATCTCCCGACTTATCCCCAATTGAGCACGTGTGGGATATGATGGGTAGGAGATTGCTCAATTTGCAACGTCCTCCTCAGACTCTAGAAGCACTTCGAGAGGAGTTGGCGGTTGCCTGGAATGAGATACCACAGGAGGACATTGACCACCTGATCAGAAGCATGCCTAGGCGCGTTGGAGAATGCGTAGCACATCAGGGTGCATCCACACATTATTAAAGGTCAAAGGGCTTTAAAACAGTGCAATCATTTTGAAATTTTTATCATTTACTTATTATGCTTCATTAAGTACTTATACAAAATTTTATTAAAATAAAACCATTTAAACTGGGTGTTCGGATTTATATGTCACTTAGTATAAGTATGTATTATAAGTTTATTTCTCTTATTTAAAAAGTCCCCAGGCAGTCCCTTCTTTGAACATCAAATGGTTGGACTAATATTATATTGGCCCATCTAGAAAAACGTTTCTTATTTTTTACAGGCAAACCATAAGTTAAAGTGAAATATAAATAATCTGTTGCGAGACTGAAGTAGCGTGACATACTTAGATCAGATCCAAGACTTTACCATCCTGTGTCTAAAAATTTTGGATGCTTATGGCATACAGAATTGACTTCTTGAGTATCGAGTATTTTAGCTTCCTTTGGAAAACACTGAATATTGACTATGTATGATCATTTTTTTTCCTACAGCGTTAATAGGACCAGTCTCTGTGGGACTGGACGCCACTCACATGCAATTCTACTCTGGAGGAGTAATAACCAAGAAATCCGGATGCAAAAACGAACTTGACGATTTGGACCATGGTGTTCTTGTGGTTGCATACAGTGAAGATTACTGGCTCATAAAGAACAGCTGGGGAACAACTTGGGGAGAACAGGGATACCTCAGGCTAAAGAGAAATGACGGAAACACTTGTGGTGTTGCCTCGATAGTTTCCTACCCCACTTTGGATTAGGATACTTTTTATTCTTTAAACTAGTAATCTTGAAATAAACGTCTTTACTAGCTTTTTGAGGGTTTGCTTTTTATTTTCTACCCTAGCACGAATTAGGAGCGCGACTTGCTTGAGGATCACTTTGAATACACTATTTCAAAAATTGCCGAAAAAACACATTACTTTCATAGGGCTTCTCATAGTCTTAATACATATACCAAAAAAGTAGTTTACAATACAATTATTCTCCGCATTTTCTATATTGTTCAACTACCTTGTTCGCTTCCAGTGGAGCTGTATTCTCAACATTTCAAGTTCTACAAAATGAAGCTATGAGCATAATATTGAATAAAAATAATTACACCAAAGTCGATATTATAAGAATTGCAGTGGTTGAATATAATAAATTCCATATCATTATTTGGTCCTTATTTTTATATTTAAAATAAAATATCAACCTTTGCCGCAACATTCAGACCATTACCAAAATTATGACACAAGAGGAAATACAGATTTCCATTTACAAAACTGCAATAGTGAAATAGCAGGAATCAGTATTTCAGAAGGGACTGCTTGAATTTAATAAAATAAATACTTGTAATTTGAAGATGTTTAAAATGAAATTAACGCAACATTTCATCGACAGTGAAAATTGCCGTGTTGTCAAGATCACCGTTCAATGTAGTGCGTTCCAGGTAATTCATAAAAATTATTTTTAACTATCATGTAGGCTTCATCATTTGTTCCCTCTCGATCTCCGTTTCCACGAGTTACATCCGTATCCGGATATATGGGCTGCCCATACACGGGCATGTCTGTCTACTTTTGTAGTTGCATATGATGTGCATTCATTTCGGGCCTGAAGAAGCCAACAAGCAGAAATACGTATTCTCGAATCCACTTTCCTTCTTTTTGTGGATTTTGCCCATTTTCTTCCTATTTGATATATACGAGGGATGTCTTTTGTTTTGCATATAGAAACATAGTAGGCCGCGCCGATCGAACGTCAGTACTGAATCTTAACCTCACTCTTTAGTAAACTTAAATTCAAAGTTTTACAACAACACATGCAGTGTTCTCACTACAGTGAATTTTTAAGTGTCACCAAGTCATTAGAAAAATGGAACTCAACCGAGAACATTTTCCCGACATAATTTATTACAACTTTCAGATACAATTATCGCAACAAGAATGCCTTGCTGAGTTACTGTCTGTTTTCGGCAACGAAGCGCCACATCAGTCGACAATTTCCCGTTGGTATGGAGAACTCAAACGTGGACGAGTCCTAGCGACGATCCCAGGGTGGGTGCACCAAAAGCGGCAGTCAACCAGGAAAACGTCGATGCTGTGCGCAAACTCATCACTGAATATAGACATGTGACACATCGTGAGATTGAGGCGTCCTTGAAGATCTGAAAGACCTCATTTCAAAAAATTTTACATGAAGAATTAGGAGTAAGAAAATTGGTTTCTCGTTGGATACCCCACCTGTTGACTGACGAGCAGAAACTCAAAAAATGTGTACAGCATTGTTAGTGATGATGAATCGTGGATTTACTGTTATGAACCAGAAAATAAACGACAGTCGCTGTTTGGGTGTTCCAAGTTGAAGAAAAGCCAACAAAAGTCATCCGTTCTCGAAGTGTTTCGAAAAAGATGGTCGCGACATCTGTGTCAAAAGCGGATCATATTGCAACAATTCCTCTTAATGAGCAAAGAACTGTTACTGCGGATTGGTATATCACCATTTGTTTGCCAAGAGTCATCACCGAGCTTCGAAAAATCAACCCCGAAAGAAGACAATGCAGGCTCGCACACAGCCCAAAAAACAATGCAGTATTTAACGGAAGAAAACGTGGATTTATTGGACCATCCTCCATGTAGTCCCGATCTAAGTCCAACAATTTCTTATTTCCTCCTTTTTGCGGAATTTACCCGTTACATATTTTCTTAGTTTTCGTTATATAACTTTCTCCGCATGATCATTTTCTCTCTCTCTATATATATATATACATAAATACATGAATGTAACTTGAGACGTCTAGACCAGTTGTGAAAAATAAAGCTTCCGCCTTTTGTTTGGTACTTCGACAAAATTCACGCAATGAGGACTCTTTATACTTTATTACTCTCTAGCTTTCAATGTACTTTGCCATCTTCATCAGGAGAATAGTATATGAGATTGTTGCTAAATGTTATTAACGTTTAAGTTGAGGTAAACACCCAGTAACCTGGTGAAAGCTGGATACATCGTACATTCGTCAAAGTTAATATTAAATACACATAGCTGTATGTAAGGAATAAATTTAAACGGATTAAAAATATTTAGAACGAAAGTTGAAGTTACATCGTGAACCACCTTGACCATTTTGTGCAGCATCAGTGAGTCCACCAAATCGGCGCGGCAAAGCCCGGAACTACGGTACCCAAATTTAGCAAAAAACACGATCTGGGTCATTCCTCTGGAATTTTGCCGGGTGACAAAGGGGAGCCTCTCAGGCCGACTGGTGGAACTTGCGATAGATCCTCCATGTACGGAGGAACTTAGCTCAACGGAGGACCTATCGACTCTAATCCCAGAATTTATCATGAGGTTCATACACAGCAGCCACAAAAATTAAATGTTTGGGCTGGAATTGTTGGCGATCATTTAGTTGGTCCTTTTTTCTTACCTGGAAATTTGACCGGTGAAATGTATTTGGAATTACTGGAAGACGCTATAGATCCTGCATTAACAGCCATAATTGAAAATCAGAATGATCGGCGGTACACTGCGAATAGGTTGATGTCCCAACACGATGGTGCCCCATCACATTACGCATTACGTGTTCGACAATATTTAGATCAGACGTTTCCAGATCGATGGATTGATAGAAGAGGTGCCATTGAGTGGCCCCCAAGATCGCCAGATTTATCACCTTTGGATTTCTTTATGTGGGGTCATTTCAAAAGCACAATCTATTCTACTCAGCCAACATCATTAGAAGACCTGCGACAAAGAATTGTGAATGAGTGCCTTCAAATTACTCCTCAAATATTGCAAAATACGCGGCAACGTTTTGACCAAAATCTTTATTATTGCATGGAGAGTCATGGTGGCCATTTTCAACATTTACTTGCCTAACGGGTCAGTTCATTCTTCATTTTTAAATTACTTTGCTGTCAAATGTATTATCTCCACTAATGATGACGTATTAGTTTTATTTAAGCTTTAAATCAATAAATCTCCAAAACTACTGGTATCACTCGACCCCTCCTTTCCATTTAAGATTTTGGGGGTGGTATCACCAACAAAATCGACGAGTCTGAGCTGCCAGTAAGTGCGTCTGTTTCGTTTTCGATGCGCCACCCTGTATACAGGGTGACTTGTAATGTCACGTATTCCTGTTAAGGGGTGATAGATTAGGTCAAAAGCAACCGATTTTGTCCTATCAAGTCTTATCCAAAAGTTAATCATTTTTGAGTTATTTGAATTTTAAGTTTTTTATTCTTTATTCCGATTTCAGACGGTTAAAATTGAAATACAAAAAAACTGCGTTCTTGATTTTGAGTTTTTTGTTATCGTCGCATAGCAGATATTCCAATTGTTCATAATAAGTAATAAAATGTTGAAAAGCTACAAACGTTTTAATATTACGCTTTTTAAATGTATCATTTTCTTTTTTTTACTAACTTATTCGATAAAAAATGCAATTTTCTGTAAAAAATCTCCTAGTAATGAAATGTGCAAATTATGTAAATAATATCTCTATTTATCAAGCTTTCATTTGAGGTATTAAGCGTTCAATTATCTGAAGTACATTTTCCTTTTTTTTATATCGAAACAGCCGCGCAGGCAGAAGCCTAAATGCCGGAACACCGCGGCTGCTATGATGATCCCAAAGAAATTTTGTTAATACGATTTTTGAACTGCCTAAGGTTAGTAGAACTGGGAAAAGCTTCCTCTTGTAGATTGTTCCACAATCTAGACACCCTTGGAACAAAGGAGCGGTCGTATCGGCCAGTTCTGGATGTACGAAGTTTGACACATATATGCAGAGAAACAACAATGACACCCACGGATGCTGGATTTTTAAGGAATTTGTATTACCTGTTTGAACAAGTCGTTACTGTCCTCAAAGGACTCGGATGCCATGATTGTTTTATGGCATCGTCTCGACGAGGAAGCGAGCGAGAAGAGCTGACTTAGTGGAGGAGTGAGAGAGAGCTGTTATTATTCATCATTGTACTTACGCCATCGCCGCACGCCGAGTGAGAATTAGGTTTAGTTGGTATCAACTACTGCGTACTCGCACACGTTTTACGCACGATTATTATTTTCGAGTTTCCCAGTTCATTTCGAGTGGTTATGGACTTTATAACGGCGATTCTGCAGCTGCCCGCCGTGAATATCGGCAACGTTTCCCGAATCGCCTCATGTTACTGTGTTTGACTCTGTGTATCGGCGCATCCGCCAAACCGGACGTGTTCAAAGGCAACATAGTGATGCTGGTCGACCCCGAGTCTATTCTCCTGAAGATGAAGAGGAAATCCTTCGTGTGTTTCAGGAAGACCCTACTACGTCTACGCGCATTGTGGCTGCTCAGTTGGGTATTTCGCAATACAAAGTATAGTTTACTGTGCATACTGCAAGATTATACCCTTATCACTACACGCGTGTGCATGTGATTGAAGAGCGCGATCCTGCAAGACGATTAGATTTCTGCAGGTACATGTTACATGCAGATACAGAAGATCCAGACTATTTTAAGAAAATTCTGTGGGCCGATGAATCGAAGTTTGATAAGGACGGGATCACTAACTACCATAATGCTCATTACTGGGCTGATAAAGAAGCTTTAAACCCCCGAAAAATAAGACCGACGGGGTCTCAGAGCCGGTTTTCAGTCAATGTGTGGATGGGCATCATTGATGGATATTTAATTCGACCTCATTTTCTGCCCGCCAATTTAAATGGAAAAGTGTATGAAGAGTTCTTGAAAAATCACTTGTTTCCATTGATGGAAGACGTCCCATTGGCGACGAGACAAAATATGCGGTTCCAGCACGACGGCTGTCCCGCACACTACAGTAGATTAGT